TGACTGGGATGCAAGTGAAGAGACAATGCTATTGACCGGAACTCATACGATTATAAGATTGGGGAAACCTGCAGTCAGCTGAGACTGAAGAAGTCACTTGGATGAGTGACAAAACGTTTCTCCCTCTGAAAACGCTACCTCCAGATGAACAGAATCAACTTTTGGAGATTGCAGAGATTTTTTTTTTTTTTTGTCTCTGCTCCTTAACAAATTTGTTTTTTCCCTTGTGTCCCAGCTGGTCTCAAGAAAATTTGTAAAGCCATTGTTGAAGCACGGACTGATGAAGAACGCGTCAAAGCTTTTGGACCGATCCAGGAAATGATAACATTTGTTCAGTTTGCTAATGATGAGTGCGATTATGGCATGGGTTATGAACTGGGAATAGACCTCTTCTGTTATGGATCTCATGTGAGTATACTAAGTCACTGCTTCTTCAGCAATCATCTTTCTTGGATTTGATGTGATTTCTGAGATGACTTATGAAATAAAAAGAACTTTTTTTTTCTCGACTTATTTCTTATTTGAAATTGGATAGTTTTAATTCTTTGACATATTTAAAACAAAACAAATCAAAAACAGGGGACATCAAACTTTTAGTGGCTATACTAGAACTATTAGTGTTTTAATGTTGCACATACATTTAAGTTAAATAGAATAAACATAAGTTGGGAACTAATGCTTTGGTCCATACAAAGAACTGAATTTTCAAAACTTTTTAAGGACTGGATTTTTGGGGATATAAATCATTTCTCTTTGATTTTCTCTCTCTCTCTTACAGTACTTCCACAAGGTTATCAAGCAACTTTTGCCCATGGCTTACAACTTACTGAAAAGGAACTTGTTTGGAGAAATTTTGGAGACCCATCTGTCAAGTCGTATCCATGACAACATAGACCAACTCTCTCCACATTAAAACAAAAAAAAATTATTCAGAAGTACATTTCTGTTCTGGCTCTTTATAAGCTTTCCCACCATGTGTTCTTGTCTTCTGTTGTTTGTCATTGCTGATATTTTTGGTGGATTTGTGCTGCTGTCACTAACTGGAAACAGTTTAGTGATGTCTTGTTTGTAAAAGGTAGCTGTTCAATAAAGCTTTTTTTAAATATATATTTCTACTTTTTAAATTTTTTTTTATTTTTTAACCTGTTTGGTTTTTGTGTTCAGCCTAATCTGAGCCAAAGTCCACCTCACTTTACAGTTGAATTGTGCAGTCATAATTTTTGCCTTGAGTTTAGATCATCAAGGTGGACTGCGTGTTGATCAGACTGCAGGCAATCTGATGAAACAATGTGTTTAAGGTGGTGTAATACCATAGAGTGGAAATAGAGGGCAGTGTTGTGTATGGGAGTTCATAAATGAGCAGCACGGTAAGATTCTGGG